AACACTGGATCCCTACGTTGGTTGAAGGATCTGGGTGGCGACGATACCTGCAGGTGACCAACATCAGCGATCGGACAAGATGTCTACCCGCTCACACTCAAGTTGGAATGTGGCTGTCAGGCGATCGGGTGCCGAGACGTCAAGACTTCGTGTCCGTTGAATCGCGCCGGTACGCAGAGTGGCAGAACTTGGTGCTGCAAGCAACCACGGACGCGGTGAGCGAAGAAGAGGCACCGATCGTAGAGCCGGCAGGACCCATGGTCGATCACCCGCAGTACGATCCGCCGAAGAGCATTCTGAAACGCCCCGCGGCAGTCAGCAACCAGATTACGAAGGTGTCTGACCAGGTGGAAGACAAGAATACAGCCGAGGAGGTGTCCGAAGGCTACGAATCGAAGGCCCGATTCAGACGAAGCCGATCGAGAGTGCCTCGGAGCTGCCCACAGCAAGTCAACCTTTGGAGGACGATCAAGTCTGCATCAGTGAAGGAGGCGAACTCTTTGCGGAGGATGTGTACAGCCAGATGACGGTCCTGCCGGTGGTGACGACGACAACGGAAGACGTGAAGCTCGAAGATATCTGGATCGAGAATGACGGCAAGAGCACGCCGGAGGAAGTGGATCGCTTGAGGAAGATCATCTGGAGTCGACAACACTTGTTACTTGGGAAAGGGAACGCACTGCCATCCGCTGCGCGAGGCGTCGTCTGCGACATCGACACAGGGAACGCCGGTAGCCCTACGCGTACGTAGGGTGGCGCCGCAGTTCCGTGACAAACTGTCCGACTTGATCAAGGGTTTGCTGTCCGCCAAGATCATTAGGGTGTCCAGCTCTCCGCGAGCGTCGCCGATCGTGGTAATAATCAAGAAGAACGGCGTCGATATCAGACTCTGCATCGATTTCCGCGTTGTGAATAGCCTGACGCGCCTCATGGTATACCCCATGCCGCTGATCAACGATCTACTTGAAGACTTGAATAAGGTACTCTGGTATTGTTCGCTGGATATGGCGAGCGGATTCTGGGTCGTGGATATGACTGAAAGGGCCCGCATGGTGTCGGCCTTCATCACACCGTTCGGCCTGTTCGAATGGCT